AAATGTTTGTTTGTTTTTTGTAATCCATGATCGAAATGTTTGTTTTTTTTTTTGTAATCCATGATCGAATTTTTTGTTTTTTGTTTTTTTTGTAACCCATGATAGAGTTTTTTGTAATCCATGATTGAATTTTTTGTAATCCATGATCGAATTGTTTTTTGCTTTTTTTGTAATCCACGATGGAATGTTTTGTTTTTTTATGTTTTTTTTTTTTTTGTAATCCATGATGGAATTTTATGTAATCCATGATCGAATTTTTTGTAATCCATGATCGAATTTTTTGTAATCCATGATTGAATTTTTTAGAAATTTGTGATTTTTTTTTTTTTATCCATGATCGAATTTTTTTTTGTAATCCATGATAGAATTTTTTGAAATTTTGTGATTTTTTTGTTTTAATCCATGATCGAATTTTTTTTTGTAATCCATGATAGAATTTTTTGAAAATTTGTGATTTTTTTGTTTTTAATCCATGATCGATTTTTTTGAAAATTTGTTAATTTGTTTTTTAATCCATATTATTCAAAGAGAAAATGAGAGAGATGATGATTCTGAGGCCACCCTATCCCAGCCATATTATTCACATATCGAGTCCCAACAACAACAGTGTAGGGATGAACATGACAGTGCAGGTGAGCATGAAGGATGGACAAGCTTCGGGGATTTTGGATTGGGAACACAACAAAACACTAATACTCAGGGATTTGGGAATAGTCAAACGCCTGCTAATATCGATGATTCGTTTTTAGATCGAATCAATGAATTGTTAAACGAATTCAATCAATGGCACCAGCTTGACCAAGAAGAACAATAACGTCATCTATCATTTTATTTTTAGATCATATGTTACTAATTTTATGCTTTATTGTAGTCCATGTATGTTGATATACTTATTCCATGATAATTTTATGTTTATCCTTTTGTGTGATGTAAATTAAATGCTGAATGGCGGTTCATGCAGGGAAAGAACATATCAATATTCGCATATTCATTCAAAAACATGAAAATTCTTAATGGAGTACCCTCATTTCTTATTGAATTCCTAAAAAATAATATTTATAATGAATTTTAATAATTTTTTCGGATTTTTTTTAAGCTTTATTCTGACCGATTCACCTGATTCCCGATCCGAATCACCAATTCGCCGATCCGGATCGGTTTTTTAAGCTCCCGATCCGGGTCACCGATCCGTTTTTTAAACCATTGGATGAATTATTCATCATTTTACCTATTTGAAACTATTCCAACTCTGGACCATGTGTATTTCAATGGGTATTTTAAAATAAAATCAAAATATATAGGTAAAATGTTAAATATCCATCTCATGGGTACGTTGATAAATTTCCCAAGAAAAATTAGTAAAGGACAAAAGGGGAAAACTTTAAAACCGGAGTTCTTTTTTATAATTAGAGTTCTTTTTTATATGAGAGAGGTTTGTATAAGGTGTCAACCTTATACTAATGACATAAGGTAAGTACTATTGACGTAAGGTGCGCTTCAAAACTCTGCCAAAGATGCAGTTTTGGTACCATAAAGTGTTGCAATTTAAACTTCCAGAAATGGTGACGATCAAGAAAATCGATAAACACTTGCAAATTTTGAAAATAGGCAGTCCAGATATTGTGTTAGAAGATTAACTATTTCTAGGATTAAAAATACCTTTTTTTTTCATGTCTATGAATCTCGAGGCCGAGATGATCGATTTGAGGATTTTCCAGCATAAAAACAATCCTCACTATTGGGTTTTTTAGGTCTATCTTACCCATGTAGTATAAGGTTGAGACCTTATATAAACGTTTTCCTTTTTATAAAGAAGGCTTTTGTTTTTCGTGGTACGGTTAATTAATAAAAAAACAAGAGAGTCTATAGTTTTTGTCACTCAAGGTTTCTAAGGGGTTGAAAATTGCAGTGGCTGATTTCCTTTCACTACTCTCAAAAGGATGTGGTTCTTTTTTATACATGGTCTAAGCTCGGTATTATCCAATGAGCTTTAGGAAGAAAATGTTTTCTGCTCTTTTTGATAAGGAAAAAAGAGACGAGTTATCTTTGCTTTGAGAAATAAAAAGAGTGGAGTTATCAATATTCCACAAAGAACAATTGTTTCATGCGGGTTGGACCGCATTTCTACGATATGCGGTCTAGAGGTATAAAGCATCCATCTTAAAGATGGATGCAAATAGATGATCCATCTAAAAACAATTGTAACTAACGGTCCAAATGTTTTTTTAATATAATTATTAATTCTAGTTTTCAAATTTTATTTTTTTTCATATTCATGATATCTATGTTAAAAATTATATGTTCTCTAAAAATTAGAATCAAATTATATTTAAAAAATATATTTATTACCAAGCCCGCATTTCTACATGTGAGGGCTTGGCCGCATGCTAACCGCGTCCTTACGCAAATAACCACTATTTATTTATATATTTGTTCCATATAATCAGCTTCTGAAGAACCATCGTCATTATTTTATTGCTTAGTGGAATTTATATGCGGTGCCCTATGGGTTTTTACTTCTTTAAAATAATTACGACCTAAATATTGGTATTATGTCTAATTTTTAATTTTTAACAATTTTACATATTTTTTATTTCTTTGTATATATGAACAGATAATGATCTTTTCAATTAGATAAAATGAAAAGTACAATAAGAAAGGAGAAATCGGAGATAAGAAGAGAAAAAAGAGTAATACAGCAGAAACGGGAAAAGAAAATAGCTTAAAAAACAAGAAGAAAAAGATGAGGGCAAAGTGAGGGACGACAGAATGGCCAGCAATGATCACATCACTTGCATTATAATACTATCTTGCCAGAGAATCTACTGGTCTATTTCTCTCACAATTGATATGGGTGAAACTGACTTTCCATCCCTATAGTTTTAGAAAGATTCTATCCAAAAT